GAAAATTTGGAAGTACAAACGATCTTCTGTCTTCTTTTTGCTTCTCAGGGGTGGCAAAGTTAACAGGTTGGGTCAATAGTGGGGCTTACAAATTGGCTTCCAGTTGTACGAGGCATCCACATCACTTTTACATCAGCGAAGGATGTTGGAAGGACTCATGCCAATCATCTCCATAATTAACTTAACTATTTACTACCCTCACTCAATCTCGTGCATCCACCCTCTCCTCTCAAGCCACTCTTCCAATCCTCCATTCCTCCTCACCCATCAATCAATCGCTTTTACTTTGCCATTCCGTCACTCACGATGCTACACTGCAACACTGCCTTCGCCGCACACTCTGCTCACTGCCGATGTTGCCACAACACACACACACACACACACACGCCAATCGTCTTGACTGTCAGTGTGGTGTGGACACGAGGATGGCAAGTGCTCGGCAGTGGCCTCCGCAACCAGTTCGTCATCTTGCCGCGTCGGTGAATGAAGTGGAGGTTGGTTTGACTGTCAAATGCGATAGGTTGGGACAAGGTAGGATGATGAGGCAGGACATTTAGATTGGAGTGGTGTGTGATCGCACAACCCTTCCCCTTTGCCGGACGTGGATTCCTTGCACTTGTGCTGTGTAACTGCTTCACCTTGTGTCGCCTCACCTCACCCCACCACATTCCACTCCACCTACCCTCGCATCACACCATGTTGGTTTTGTGGGGCAATTTTGTTGCCTAACACAGTGCACGGAGGTCTGCAAACCGTCAGAAGTGTGTCCACTAGTGCAGCGCCTTGAAGCGACATCGGTATGGGCCTCGTAACGGCAACTGATGGAGTGAGTTGGGTGAGGTGATGTAAGGTGGGGTGAGGCGAGGTGAGGCGAGGGGAGGGTAGGGGAGGTGGAATGGATAGTTCTCCTTCCGCGCAGGTCTCATGAGGGAGAGAGGTGGTGGAGAAGGAGGGGAGGAGGGGAGGAGAAGAGTGGAGTAGAGTGGAGGAGTGGAGGGGGGGAGGTGGGGGGAAAGTGGAGGAGGGCGAAGTGTGTGTGAGGAGAGGGAGGAGAAGGAAGCAGTACAAAGAAAGCGTGCTTGAAGACTATCGCGAAGTCTTGTCTCCTTACTAGCCACAATAAAGTATCCTCGTTGACCGTCCAGTACAATGTCAAATGTTATTGAATTGAAATCTGTTGTGGTGTTGAATGACCTACTCTGACTAAAATCTTCCATGAGTCTCATGTGTGGTAAGTTGGCTCATAATACTCTTTTTATTTAAAAAAAATTTTAATAAATACAACTTAAGGGGCTGATTGCAAAGCACCTTCTTCCCGCTCTTTGTCTTGTCGTAGTTTTTTCTAGAAACAGAGCAGTGGATCGCACTCGTTTGATGCTCTTTGTGTCGCGAAGACCTTTGACTGTATCATCCATCAGTATCAAGTCAACGCGATCAACCAGTTTTAAGGATTTTCACATCAACTTTTACCTTCATTATGCAAATTTCTTGTAAACACTTGCATTTTCCACTCCGATGTGGTTGCCTAGCAATAATACGCCGCAATGTCATGCCGTGCCTCGTGTCGAGAGCGGCAACGCAGACTCTTTCAAGAGTACCTTTTAGAGTAACATTTGACAGTTTGATTACCTTGTCGATTGGAAAGTAGAAGGCTCAAATGTTTTCTATGATACTCAGGGCTTTTGCGATCCATCAGTCAACTCGAAAAATAAAAAAACGTTGATAACTTGAAAAGTCAGTACAACAAATAAGGAGCTGTTTTAACGCTAGCACTCATTCTAACTTCTCGAAATGGAGCACAGGAGAACTGTCTATGAAGCGCACTCGACTGACGAACAGAAGGAGTTGGAATAGTAGAGAAGGGCGATTGCAGTAGATGAGCCACCTACAACGGATCACTGACTGACGTCTCTTGTTTGTCTTGATGATAATTTAAACTTGTGGGGGATTTTAGATCCCCTCAAAAATTTTGCCTTTTTCGTATAACAAACTTCTT